TTTTTTCTGTCCTGCATGCATAGGCTTTCACAATCATTGACCAGAACAGAGACGGTATCATCAGCAAAGACGACCTTAGGGACGTGTTGGCCTCAATGGGTGAGTTTATGCCTTGTGTCACTTGTGTCCTTTGTAAATATATCCATGAATGTGTGCTGACCATCCTTGTCTCTTTGTAGGCCAGCTGAACGTGAAGAATGAGGAGCTGGAGGCCATGATCAAGGAAGCCAGCGGCCCGATCAACTTCACCGTTTTCCTCACCATGTTCGGAGAGAAGCTGAAGGGTATGCAAAAGTCCCTTTTTCTGGCCGTTTTCCCTTCAGTTTACCAATCATTGTGGTATTCAGTCAGTGTAACTTGCTTTCTGTGTCTCTGAAAGGTGCTGACCCTGAAGACGTCATTGTGTCTGCCTTCAAGGTGCTGGACCCAGAGGCCACTGGCTTAATCAAGAAGCAATTGTAAGCCTATATTAACTCACTTTTTATTTCCATGTGCAAAAAAAAAATAAAATAAATGTTTCCAAGTCTGACTGCTATTCGTTATCTCTCTTTCCAGCCTTGAGGAGCTTCTGACCACTCAGTGCGACAGGTTCTCTGCAGAGGAGGTGAGATTACATGTTGCTCTTCATAGTTTTAAATCAGCATGAAATGGCAATTCATCTATTTTCTAAATGCATGTTATTAATCTTATTGTGAATGATTCTTCCGTCTGGTGATGTACGCTGGACTTTTCCAATCATTTGGTCCAATAAAATCAAGTCCCGGCTTACAATTTTTTTCTACTTCAATTATCCATTTCACTTGGATGTATGTCACAATGCATAAAAGATCTGTCACTATTTCCGTTTCACTGCAACTTTAATCTATTTTTTCTGGATTAGAAAATGATCATTCTTAAATGATAATTGTTTAATATTTATTTAATCTAAATTCTTTGTTCTTCATCTATTAGATGAAGAATCTGTGGGCCGCCTTCCCCCCAGATGTTGCTGGCAATGTTGACTACAAGAACATCTGCTACGTCATCACACATGGAGAGGAGAAGGAGGAGTAAACGGTCGTGGAGACAAGACAGAATATGAAGTGATGAACGTGCATCCCTCACTGCTTTACTCTCCCAGTCTGTTCTCTGTCCTCCTTCTCTTTCTTTGTGTTTCTTCCTCCCTTTCTTCCTTTCCATCATCTTTGTTACTCTCAAGCACTTACTCTCTCCATCTCTCCAAAGACTTGTCTCACTTAGGCTGAATTGGGAGGGTGGAGAGGCTCATGACCACGGTGTCTGTCAAGTGGGGATATGGGATTGTTTTCAATAAAATGAACATCATTACTGTATCTCTCACATACTCTCTCTTTCTCTCTGTTTCTCACTCATTACCCAAGACCACCTCTCATGCATGAAAGTTGCAGCATCTTCTGCTGCTGTTTTGAGGGTTGAAGACATCTATAGCTTTTGGCTGAAATCTCTCTTTAGATAAATGTGGAAGAGTGCTCATTCTGAGGGAAAAAGAGGCAAGATGGAGTGATCTCACTCTATAATAGAGGAACCAGTCATCATTCTTGTTTCTTTCGCCTGACAGTTGACTAAAAAGAAAGACAAAACGAGGGTTTTGTACCGAGAGTACATCACGGAGAGAGTGAGAGAGACAGACCGTCCATAGAAGAGAGGAGAATGGGGACTGCAGAGGAAAGAAAACATATCCTCTTCGGTCCCTCTCTCCCCTCCTCTTCGCTATTTCTCTGTCCATGTTTTTTTTTATCAACCCTTTTGCTTTCTGCATCTGGGCCTGCTTTGCTCTGTCAGAAACTCTTCTGTAACCAATAAAAAGACAACCTGTGAATAAAACATCTTTTTGTAATGCTGTGTCTGCTGGCTATATGTGATAGGAGGGATAAACCGGTCTCATCTGTAATTACAGAGCATAGAGACGGTAATATAAGTTATGGAAGGTTACATAAGACTGCAGGTCTATGATGCAGTAAATCACAAGGGTGACCAGCAGTATGAAAACATACTGAGAGCATGATATCTGCTGGACAATGACAGTACTACAACTGCAATAGCATAGCTACTCCGTCACATTCACATTCACCTTCACATCATTCCGAGAAGTTTTTAATATTTTCAGCATTAACTGCTCGTTTTCTAATTATTAATGGAGAAAAATGTTCCAATTTTACCAAAAAAGCATTTGTTTAAAACGGTGAATTTCTGATTTAACATTTAAACCAGTACAATTGTTTTTATACCCTTTTAAATGTATAACTAAGAGCCCAAACTACAAGTTGATGTAGATATTAAAGGTCTTAAACCAAAAACTGATTTGTTTTATTACGTTCTCAAGCATATTTATTTATTGGTTAAGGGTTGTAATGCACAATCAATCAGACAACAGCAAAATAAAACCCTACCAAGGTTATACAAGACCACCTTGTCAGGGTGTATCGCTTAACGTTACCTTCATTTGACCGAAACAAATCGCGCCATTCCTTGTAGTCTCTGTGCGCGCGCTTGGAGTCAGTGCCATACGAGCAAAAAATTGCTTTAGGCACATTTCCACATAAGGTTAACATTCATAATGAATTTCTTATTTTAAAAAAAAAGGTTTTCGATTAAACAGCACCCAACACCCTTTAGTTACCTGGGGGGGGGGGTATTTCTCTGTCCATGTTTTTTTTTATCAACCCTTTTGCTTTCTGCATCTGGGCCTGCTTTGCTCTGTCAGAAACTCTTCTGTAACCAATAAAAAGACACAACCTGTGAATAAAACATCTTTTTGTAATGCTGTGTCTGCTGGCTATATGTGATAGGAGGGATAAACCGGTCTCATCTGTAATTACAGAGCATAGAGACGGTAATATAAGTTATGGAAGGTTACATAAGACTGCAGGTCTATGATGCAGTAAATCACAAGGGTGACCAGCAGTATGAAAACATACTGAGAGCATGATATCTGCTGGACAATGACAGTACTACAACTGCAATAGCATAGCTACTCCGTCACATTCACATTCACCTTCACATCATTCCGAGAAGTTTTTAATATTTTCAGCATTAACTGCTCGTTTTCTAATTATTAATGGAGAAAAATGTTCCAATTTTACCAAAAAAGCATTTGTTTAAAACGGTGAATTTCTGATTTAACATTTAAACCAGTACAATTGTTTTTATACCCTTTTAAATGTATAACTAAGAGCCCAAACTACAAGTTGATGTAGATATTAAAGGTCTTAAACCAAAAACTGATTTGTTTTATTACGTTCTCAAGCATATTTATTTATTGGTTAAGGGTTGTAATGCACAATCAATCAGACAACAGCAAAATAAAACCCTACCAAGGTTATACAAGACCACCTTGTCAGGGTGTATCGCTTAACGTTACCTTCATTTGACCGAAACAAATCGCGCCATTCCTTGTAGTCTCTGTGCGCGCGCTTGGAGTCAGTGCCATACGAGCAAAAAATTGCTTTAGGCACATTTCCACATAAGGTTAACATTCATAATGAATTTCTTATTTAAAAAAAAAAGGTTTTCGATTAAACCATAACACAAAACCTCACAATTTCGTCGTAAAGTGACTAATTCACTGTATCACAATAGTTCCATGTCACTTAAAATAACTAATTACATTAACAGAAAGAAACACTCTTGAGGGAGATTTTAATATATTATGATTTATTATTCATCACAACTGCAATTATTAAATACACTGTGAACTTCCTCTTCTGCAGTTTTACAACAACTGTCTTCATCTATGAATTTATTTCATTCTCAACTGTAAATGGTTTCATGTAAACATAAAAACAAGCATGAGACATACAAAGGACAGGATGAGAGAACTAACCTAAACACATTAAAATTAAAATTATTTAAAATTAATTTTACAACAATCCTACAACATACATTGGGTCATATTCACCAATGCATAAATCCACAAGACAAATCAAACTACTTTACACCCAGTCCCAGCTGTCTCAAGAGTGTTAGTAAACCAACACTGGATGGCCTTGCATTAATTATTGGTGAGCACAGCGTCCAAACCATTTTAAGTCCACCTGTCGTACCCTTGGTTGGCAATACAGACAAGATGGTGTTAGTGAAGGTGGCCTGACAGGCGCAAAACCAGGTTTATGCTAGTGCTTGGAACTTAGAGCAATTCTTCAGGATAATAAGACATCCCACTCCACCTTTCCTTCAACATTTCCAGTGCTGCTGTCAACAGTGAAGGTAGTCTGAGCCCCCTGCTGGCCACAACATAAATGTCAACATCTACATTGTGCCATAGTTAGGAACATAAAATTTGCATAGACATAATTTGCTTGCTTTCCATTTGAACAGTAGTGCCTTTAGAGGAAGCAACAACCACTGAGGTCAGTGAGGGCACCACTGACAGGTGAGGCGGAGGTTTGACCCCCTGCAGTTGAGACTGAACAAGTCCAGGAAACACAGGAGACACCATTAAAACATTGACAGAGAATTTGGCTACCATATTGCAACCTAGAAACCACTTCAGGTCTCTTCTGTCTTGACAGAAAATACTATATATCAAGTAGGAGTTTAGTAAGTATGGTCCAATCACCTGGTGAATGTATCAGAATAATTCATAATACTGAGGGGTCAGTGGATTACGTTGGAGTTCAATTTGCCAGTGTTCACTTCACATCAAGAGTAACACTGTTTGGGTGAAACTTTTGTTAAGGATTGTATTTTACGTGTTTAATGAACACAAAAATGCCTAGCATACATTTTATTGATCCATTCCTTTTCTCTTTGGGATCACTTCCCCCTTCAATAGGACATAATAATAATAATAATAATAATAATAATAAAAGATCAGAATCAAATAATAATCAGTATGAAATCACCATCTCCCATAACACAAATACTGCAGTAATATTAGACAAGCTAGTGATTATAACATGTCTAAAATAAATAACTGCTTGTTTTTGTTCTCCAGGATGTTGGGAGAAAAATGTGCAAAAATAATTTTCAGCGCTTAAAAATAAAATAAAAATAAATCCTGTGATTAAATACATCGCTCTCCTAAAACCAAGCTCACTGCCATTCCAGTCTACCAGGCCTCTGCATACTTGCATAGAAAAATAAAAAATCTAATTCAAAACAAAACTAATAGTAGCTGTAATAGATAGTATATGGTTTCATCCTATTAAATTAATAGTTTATACATCAAAATATTACAGCTTGAAGCCAAGAGCTTCAAAGGTCAAAGGTTAATGCTACAGCGCTGCACCAAACCCTTCTCATCCAACAAGGCGCAGACTTAAGGAGTCATGTGAGCTGGATTAGCAAGTGCCCTACATTAACAAACCGATCAAGGTTAGTGGTGAAAATCAACAGGCCTCAGTGCATAAATTTATTAAAATCCTAGTCTGAACTCTACATCCATATCAACATCAAGATCATCAACATCAAACCACACAGACATCTGGAGTGACTGACACGCTTGGCAGAATTTAACGTTTACCGCACTTTATGTGATGCAATTTATTTGAAAAAGAAGAAAGAAAAACATCAAATAAGCTCTTTGGCGTCAAAAGGAAATTTTAGGTGAGGCTGATGTAATGATGGATTGAGAGTCTTAAGAGCGGAGAGAGACAGGTACACGAATCATGAACAGTTTTAATTTCCTTTTAGTAATTATGTTGACTTGGATATTCAAATTCTTTTAAAATGGATAGTTAAAAGTGGCTCTTTCCACTGTTTTAAAGGAGAACGTACCTTTCCCCCCCAGTTCAATTTAGCTCCTCCACTCCCCCTAACACTTATTAATTCCTCTTACAAGAGCGCAACTGTAAGGACGAGCTCCTTTGAGATTGAAAAGAGAGAAGAAAGACGAGACCGGTCTGCAGCACGAGACTGTGACACCATTCACTACACTGTCAAGGCACAGACATACAAGAGCACACAAACACACTCTTAACAATCAACAGTACAATGAATAAATAGGTCCTCCAGAACACTCAGAGATAAGTTATTACAAGTCACCGCCATGCTTTTCTCGCCACAGAAGAGTTTTATTCAGGTATTCTGGTTGAGACACCTCTCGGGTGATGGGCAGAGGGGGATTGTGGGGCTAGACTGGCACAGATGGCACTAGAGGTCTATGTACACCATGGCACCCAGTACAATAGAATTGACTACTAATCATATAGCTGATCTTATCAATTCAGATATCCACCTTCAAAAAAAACTAATAAAAGGCTAAGTAATAAATGCTTCCTGTTTCGGCATTGGGTGAAAGCACAGTGCAGATGAGATGATGAGAGACGTGGGGCAGATGCAGTGATCCACTTATCCTTGTGAAATGAGTACTTGAGATGAAATGGACATTCCAGGTGATTCGCTCTCTGTCTCTCTTACTCTTTGCACCAGTCTGCAGCCGTTTTGATTCCTTGTCCTCTTTTTTCCGCCATTCTCATGCTTTTCCTCTTGCTGAACGAGAGACGGGGCAGGAATTAGGCCAAATCTTTTGCTGCTGCTGCAGCTCCGTTCTTCTCCTCAGTCTCTCCTCCTCCCCCTTTGTCTTTTTTCTTACCCCCCTTCTCCTTTTTCTTCTCTTTCTCAGCTTTCTCCTTCTTCTTCATCCTCTCTTTCTCGGTTTTCTCCTTCTCTTTCTTCTCCTGTGATTTTTGCTTCCCCTCCTCTTTCTCTCGCTTCTTGTCCTCCTTGGTTTTCTTTTTCTTTTTTCCATCTTCCTCCACTGCCGTTTTTGCGGTTTCTGGGCAAGGTGGTAATGGGGCGTTGTTTGCGGTGGGCGATGGGATTGTGGGGGTGATATGTTCAGAGACGACTTTAGGTGACGGCTGGAGCATATGCGTGCTGGACGCGTGTGCAGTTGGAGCCGGTGGCGTGGTAGTAGATGATGTTGTAGCTAGCAGACTGGGCCCATGTGGCACTGGCGGCCGCCCACCGGCTCCAGCGTTAGAGGCAGATGGCACAGGAGGTTTTGAGGCCACTGCACTGATGCCACCCCCAAGGGGCTGCAGTGGGACGATATCCTGGCCCAAGCTGCCAGAAGTGGAGCCCTTCTTGTTCTGTGAGTGGAATGGCATCTTGGACTTTCTAAGACCAGAAAGTGACAGGAGGCTTGATGATGCACGTAAGGGTCCAGGGGGAGGGACATGACCGCCCAGGAACAACAGGCTGCCGCCAGAACTGATTGCAGCAGCCCGGTGTTTCTGCTCGAAGATGGCCCGTGTTCCGTGCAAACGGCGACCCGGTTGGTGAGTCAACTCTCCACGAGATTCCCGCCACTTGCGCACCTGAATACGGCACTCCCTCTCAATGAGGGCCTCCGTCACAGACAGAGTGATCACCTGAAAACAGAGTAGAGAGTAAGAGGAAGGATAAGGCATATTCTACTGCTACTTCTCTATTGCGTGTTCTCTCGTAAGAGCGCGCACCTCTTGCACCAGAACTTCCTCCCTGATAGCTTCAGGTGGGATGTTCCTCAGTCGCTCCATGGTCTCGTACATGCCCTGCATCTCACGGAGCTTATCCACAGACCCCAACATCTGCTTGAGTAACACCAGACCCACCCTGAACACAATCTTCACTCCTGACAAACAACACAGGGAAAAAAAATACAACTTTAACTTTAAAGAATTACATATACCAAAAAAGTATGCACATTTTATTCTCTAATGTGTATGACTGACCTTCACAGAAGAACATGTCCCAGACACGCAGGACACAAGACCAAGGCAGCGTACGGGAGAAAATGCACATAAACCACTCTGTCATGTACAAGATGGGGTCGATCTTAAATTTCTTCAGGTGACGGTAAGCCATGGGACAAACTCTCCTCAGAAGAGAGAAAAAAATCTCTCCGTCCAGCTGAATAGCTTCCTGAGGGACAGGAGAAGAGAAGAAAGAGGAGTTAAAAAAAATACACTCTGAAAAAAAAAAACACTTCTCTGGTCCAGAAAAGAGTCTCTTTGAGTTGCAGTACTCACCAACCCAGCACTGTAGTAGCCAGGCAAGTATTTCTCACAGATTTGCACAAGACACCAGAAGGCTTGCTAGAAGAAAATGACAGTGAAGATGTTGACAGTTTTATATCCTGTGATATTCCTGTAAGTCATATTTCCTTCACTCTGTTGTTCTTTTTAAAGAAAGACAGCCTAGCAGAGCAACATAGACAGCTGTTTAGCTTTGTTCAAGTCTGTCTTACCTCAGCAGGCATGTGCATGAGCAGCACTGCTGCCACTGGGGCCTGAGCCTGACAGTAGCCCTCATCTGGCCGATAGACTGTGTAGGCCTTCAGTATACGGTACAGGTCCTGCTGCCTGAAAACACACACACACACACACACACACACACTGATTAATGGAAGTCTGGACAATAAAAACTGCTGATATTTATTTCTGTGTTATGTATATATAAAAACTACTATTATTATTAATTATTATTACTATTAATTAGTGTTCTGTTTGAATTGCAAGATATAATTTGCTTAGATATTAGGCATAGATATATCCCCCAATATATAAATAGGGTTGGGTATCGTTTGGGTTTTTTTCGATACCGGTACCAAATTGATACTTTTAAAACTGAACCGATACTTATTAAAAAAACCAAAAACAAAAAAAAAATCCCCATAAAATGATGGATTGGCCATTAGCACTATAAACACATGATGTCTGTTTCATTCATACTGGACGCCAGAGGGCGCCCTCACACAGAAAATCCACATATCCAGTCACAGAAGTAGCGGAACTCATGACCCTCCAGGAAATCCCTTAAATGGACAAAGGCACTGCTATTATAGCTGTAACTGAGTAAACAGAACATATAAACGTTTTGAATGATAAAACAAAGACAGTGCGTTCTGATACATACTGGTTACATAGGTACTGTGCCATATTGGTACCGGGTTTTGGTACCCAACCCTATATATAAAAGAAAAAATGAGAAGCAGAGGTGAAGTAAAAGTGTGGGGAAGTATAAAACTGAGGCTATCTGGTATCAATATGCACACTATGCAGTGAATACAGACTAATAGACTAAAAAAACAAAGGAGGAAAAAATCCCTTCCTTCAGTTTCTCAGATTGTGCAATGTTCGAAATAAAAGCCTTACATCACCCTTTCCCTTGATAAAACCCTCATCTGCATTTACCCATGTCCTCCCCGAGCAGCAAACATCTCATGGAATGGGAACTGCCTGTGCAAGTCCTTCTCTATGATGTCCAACCACTTCGGATCTCCCTGCTCTTTCTCCAATTCCTGAGAGAAAAGAAAAAAGTGTAAAATAAGAAAAGAAGAGTGTGTTGAGCAGATAAACTGAGATTTACATGACATGCTAAGTAAGCACAAGAACATTTAAAAGGTGAGACAGAGCTCCAGATTGTATGACTATTATTCTTGACAGTGCAACAAAGTGTTGTTATTGGTCACTGCTTTACAGCAACAGCATATGAACTTGGGAGAAGTTGATTTAGCACCATGACTGTTTTCACAGAAGACGTATCAAACCTGACCGTACCTCAAACTTTCCAGGATTGGACTCAAGGAGCTCCTGGCTGTTGGAGAGCAGCTGCCAGGCTTTACATCTGAGTGAGGAGGGGATTCCTTTCCTGCAGCGCACTTTCACCTGCATCACAAAGAAAACATAACTCCGCATGTATAAACCTTCATAGGCACAGCATTTTCTATTCCTAGTCAGTAATGCCTTCCGTGACCCTTTAAGTGAGAAACAGACCTTTGGAAAGCGTCGAGATATCCATTTGTCCCAGTTTCTGAACATGTCCAACCATTTCATCTCTCTCTGCCTTGCCACGGCCACAGCGATGTCCGCCTCACTACAACACAGAGAGGGATTCACAAACACATAAACCACACACAACAAATAAACCTATAAGCACCCACCCATGCCCTGAGATAATGTTGAGCTTCTGACAAATGGCTCAAATCCTGAGAGGGTTTATATTGAATCTAAGAGAACAGGCACCTGTAAAACTAACCAGAAACTAATCAGAAACCCCTGAAATCTTCTGTTATTTATTGGTGAATTAATAATGACAAAGAGTTTTGTACCAAATGAACAAATATAACACTGCACAGTAGTGATACCAGACTAGAAGCGACTGACACCAGAGATAGAAACTCCAGTCTGAGGCTCGGATTTGAGTCCTACTTAAAGGCGAAGTATGCAATTTCTAATTCGAATTGTAAAAATAATGTTTTATAATGACAGACACTGTCATTCTAGTCTATCATTGTTAAAAAAAAAAAAAAAACGATAGTAAGCCAATGTCGTTATTTGTGCTGGTCGTGATGCTCAGACACACAGTACACAGTTTTAAATAGCAGCACAAAGCCAATATTTGCACTATTTGGGAAACCTTTTAGAAAAAAAAAAATGTCTTGACTTAAGTTAACGTCAGCCTTCACTTGAATTCTAAAGTAGAAATCTGAAAACGTTGTGAACAAGTCAGTAGCTTACAGGCAAGAAATAATGTCTCTGAAAATAGCTGCACTGTTTAGATGTACTGAATTTAATACAACTAATAAAAAATAGTGATATCTTCTGATATAAAGAAACAAATCTGAAATCGGACATATTTCTATACCAGTTTGACAAACAAGGAAATACCCTAAAATAATAAAGCAATAAGCCCCAAGAAGCTGTGGTTTACAGTGAATTTATAACAGCTAAGGGGCGTTGTTAGGCATGACGTGAAGCGGAGTGCCTAAAACCCCACTAGCTGTTATAAATTCACTGTAAACTACAGCTTCACGGGGCTTATTGCTGTCATAAAACGGTTATTTCATATACGTAGTAAGGTTTCACAAAATAAAACAGAGCAAATAAAGTGTAATGATATAAATAAAAACAATATTCTTCCACCAAACAATGCAGTTCCTCAGAATCAGTTGTGGTTGCAACAAAGTGGTTGCCGAGCAACACACAAACGTAAACAAAGGTGTATGTTTGTAGAGTAATTTACAACAGCTTCGAACGTGGCTCAGTCAATCAGAATCAAGGACCGGAACTATTCGTTTTATAATATTTATTTTTTAAATATATAAAAAATAAAAATAAAATTTAAAAAACAAATCAGTAGCAAATATGAGACTTTTTGTAAATAGGCTTTGAGATTTGTTTAGCCTTGAAACTTCACAAGATGCCACATCAGGTACTTGTGAACTTGTCTGATTGACACAATGGCTTACAAACAAAAATAGCAGAAAACTAAATCTGACAAACAGCACGCCAACCATATGAGAAAGTCTAATTTAAGACTAACCCACATCGACCAATTTTAAATAGCCGAAAAGCATGTGGTGGTTAATAAGTTCATGCTGAACAGGAATAAAAATAAGGAAACGTCCAAATGTAAACGATAGTGTTAGTGCCCATTTTAGCAGAATTAGTCAGTACTAGAGATAAAGCAGAGACAGTCGGGGGAAGAGAGAGACAAAAAGAGAGACAGTCAGTGCAATCTGACTCAGACGAGCCCTCTCATCACAATCTGAGTCATTCACAACAAACACATAAAGGACACAGAGAGGGAGCAAGAGAGATGGACACAGGAAAAATGCACCAAATGCTCATCCTGCTCTCGGTTGTAGGCATGAATTATTAATATCCCAGCAGCACTCTTCACATCAGGTGCTGCCAATTACCCCACCATTCACATCCATTATAAATGCTTACTGTGATTTATCAAACCAAGTAATGAACTAGAGCCATGCACAAGAATTTGAAAAATTACATAACATATCACTTTCAATTTTAAATATATATATATATATATATATATATATACACACACACACACACACACACACACACACATATATATATATATATATATATATATATATATATATATATAGATAT